ACTTCGTGCAAATCGCGGTACCGGAGTTTGTTTGTTTCGTGATTTTTGACTGCGCGTGTAACGAACACGCGGAGGGACAATCCGTCACACCGAATTAGACCACGGCACGAAGGTTCGTCGACCGGCAGGGTTCACTGTTTAGAACTTTGGTTTCATATTATTTTTGAATTAGAATTTTGTACATTCTCCGAATTGTTTCTTGTCGTCCGCCCGTCAGGCATTTATAACTTTTTATTTTGTAACGCGTAAAACGCGTACAGGTCCTTGACGGTCGGTGATCGTATTGTGGTAAAGTTGTGCGCCGGTCGGTCTTGCATTTTCCGGTGAGGTCGATCGCGTAAAAATACGTCACAATGTATACCTTAACTAGTATCGATTTACAGCATATTATGGTCCTTCATTATTTATAAGAAATTAAACACTTAGTTTTCGAGTTTTAAGAGCGATTCCTGTTTTTTCTCGATACTTTTCGTTCAGAAAAAAAACCAGCAGGCACCAATCATAACATTGACAACTGAGCAGCCAATTTTATATGAAAAATCTTTCAAAGATTTACACGTCACAGTAAATTATAAAATTGTATTATTATAAACATTAGAAAATTCATTCGCTTGCCAAATTACATGTGCAGAACGACCGACAGAACATCGAAACACCCTGAAATTCCACGTGCGATACCTAGACATAAGACACGATGGAAAGGAACGCCTGAACACTTTGGAACTCCAATGCCGTCACATAAAATACGAACTACGTAATCGTACATACGTGCGCGCTTAAAAATATCGGTTTTATTTTTCGTGCAAGCTAAAGGCCTTATAATTTTTTACTGCTGTGAAGGCAGCTTTATATTACCTGAAAATTCGATGTGAGCAGTACCTCAACGGATAAAATATTTTTAAATGTGTTGTGTATTGGCAAATCGTCAGCGACATCCACGTGCAAAAAAAAGTGCAGGGACGTGCGAAGAAGACAATGACGAAATTGAAATAAAATTATGTCGCCCGTCTCTCGATATACCCTGATCTCATGCACAAATCTTATTGATCTTGATGGGAATCAACTCAGAACTTTCAATACCTATAATGAATCTTTCAGTGACATTTATATATATTTAGCAGTTTGCAAGATATTTGATTCGAAGCACAGGTACAAGAACTGCTTCGAATAAAGAGTATCGGTTGGCCACTGCCTGTACAGCCCGTCAAGATTTATATCATGTGCAGTAGCAGTTCTCAGATCAATTAAGAATGGCTGTCTTCTTTTTAACCAATAATGTGCACTATTTTCTTTTGAATACAAATATGTGCATATTTTTGGAATCAAATAATACGTTAACAGGCACCTTTTTATTTAAAAATTTTTTCGTGAATAAAATTTCTCTGTATACGCGGTTGAAGAAATATCAGGGCTTTTTTGTATACATTTTGTATTGCCTAGAGATACTGTATTGAACTGTTTAAAAAGTGAAAATATATTGAATTGTAACAATAATGTTTGTGCTGGTGATTTTCGATGACGGCATGTATATACCTGTGTTTCGACTCAAATATTTTATGAACGGCTATGTGTGAGAAAAAGTTATTGATACATTCACTATAGGAATCAAGGGTTCTGAATCGATTGCCACCAAGTTCAATACGATTAGTGTACGAGATCATGGCGCATTCACATGGCGGGCGAGATGATTTTATTTCATGTCCATCGTTGTCATCGTTGTCGTCGTCCTTTTCACACGTCCATCTACTTTTTTACACGACAGATGGCGCTGACTGCTTTGCCTTCTTTACCTATTTGTACTTTTAGATGGTGTTGGAAATTTACGAATACACAACACAATCAAATACACTTTGTACGTGAAGCTACCGTTCACACAGAATTTCCAGGTAATATAAGACTGCTTTCACAATAGTACAGAATTATTAGGGCTTTCATGTGGAGCGCGTGTGTATGGGTGTATGTATGTGTGTGCTTCGACATAATTCCTCGTATTTTAGGTGACAGTTTTTAGAGATACAGGATGTCCAGGTGTTCCTCTCCGTAGTTTCCTGTATCTAGGTGGCGGACGTGGAAGTCCAGAGTCTCCAGGTGATCCGCTCCGTAGTTCCTTGTATCTAGATATTGGATATGGAAGTCCAAGGTGTCCAGGTGTTCCGTTCCATAGTTTCCTGCATCTAGGTGTCAGACGTATAAGTTCAGGGTGTTCAGGTGTTCCGCTCCGTAGTTTCTTGTATCTAGGTGTTAGATGTGGAAGTTCAGGATTTCTAGAAAAGCGTGCAGCGAGCGACGCTGTGGTGTTTCGCTCAAACCATAGTATCCTCTCTATCGTTCTCCCGGCCTAAGATACGTAAATAATCCAGCATACTCTCCTCTCCTATGTTTACTACACGACTTCAAGAAGCTGGACACCATTAACGACGCTTATGTGCATTCAAGATTACATTTTCTTTAAAAATTTGTACATATCTTTATGCATTTCTAAAAAAATGGATTTACAAATTAAATTCATATGCCATTAAACATTTTCGACAACGCAATATATTTTTCTGATTAGCGACATCATAATGCATTTACATTTTATATCTATGAAAATATAGATTTCAGTGCTTAGAGCTTCTATCTTCCGTTGAGTAACAAAAACTTGTGATATCCCCCAAAGAAACACTTACGTGTCAAAAACTACATCAAGTACAGGAGTGCTGTATATTCTTCTAATAAAAAGTATTGAAATCATAATATTAAGACTACCCTTTGCAAACAAAAAAAATTGAGTGATCAATGGCGGGCAATAGAAAACGACGATAACCATACAGTTTTAATGTGAATTGTATGGGAAAGTTAAGGGCAAACACTGAATGACAACAATTCGAATGGAAAGACAATGGCAAGCATGAATGGAATTTTTTTTCCATAGAAACTTAATGGAAATGCCAATGGATAACGAAGGACACAATTCCTATGGCATTTCTCTAATCATTGTCCAATGTGGTCCAGTGCGAATTTTAATGGAAACAAGGCAATGGAAAACTTTGCGTAAGGGAAACTTTTATGGAATTACTATAATCAATGACAATGCATTGGTGTGTAAAAAATTCCCACAAAACCCCCTTAGGAGCATTTACCATTGTCTCTTATTTCTGTTATATCTGTTTCAATATATACATATATGTTATCAATTAACGAATGAAACATTTTTAATGAAATGAATATTTTGTAATACTTCTATTTTTCAAAAATTATAAAACGCTACGTATATCCATACACGTTATAAAAATGAATTTGCGAGATGACATATAGTATTTTGTAATACTTATGTTTTTAAAAAATTCTAAACCCTTATTATTTTTAATATTATGTTTATTAATCTCTCTCAAAGTCTTTGGCAAGTGGTGTAACATACAATATATCGTCCACAATCATACACAAACATTTTTGCTTGATATTATCGACTAAAGAATACATTCTGACTCCTCGTTTCACTGTCCGCACAAAATCGCAAGATGATATGCCTAAGTCTACGTCCGTGATCTCAAACTCGTTACTTAAAACTAATTCATTTCCATAAATTAAGAAATAGTTTTTGTCGTTCAATCTTAATTCTAATACTTTGAGAATGTCCATATATTGCTCAGATATTAGTTGAACGACAGAATTATCTCGCCTTGTTACTTTTTTGCAAACCTGGCTACAATAAAGAGTTCCCTTATAGATAAAACGCTGGTAACTAAATAAATTATAGTCGGTATCGTTTAATTCAGGTACCGTTAATCTTAGTGTATTTCTGTCGTGGTAACTCGCAATTTCAGATTGACCTTTACCGAGGACAGTTAGACACCCCGTTTGGACACAGTTTTTAACCGTTTTTCGGTTTTCAAGAAGATTACAAAATAGCTCGTAGGCTGCAAAACAGGTGTTTTCTGTCATAATTTTTTTGCTAGTTTTAACTAGGTTACCTCTGCGCTGATAAGAACGATAAATTTGGGCAACAACCGATCGCGTCCCATTGAAAAATCTCGTCAAAATCCCGTTGCAATGTTCAAAACCGAACGTTGAGGTTGCCCATAGAGCTCCCCAATTGCGTACACTTTCTGCCATATGCAATAATAAATGAGTGTTAAACGATAAATGTTCAACACTGTATAGTAGTCTGATAAATATCACGAATTTTTTTAGACTTTCTTCAGCTTGAAATATTTCTATCTTCGTGATTTTATTTTGCAAGAGCTTTCGAAAACCGTACACAAGTAAAAACCAATGGTGAAGATATTTTGGTTCCATTACTTTACGAAAAACTAGTAGAGAATAGTACAGCTAAAGAGAATGCTATTCGGAGGCTTTGAACAATCCGCGGTTGTCTAGTGTACAAGGGAGTCTCGTTATTTCGGAAACAGGTTTTATGCGTTCCAAATCATCTGATACTACCTATATCGATGTACTTAAAGACCAGGGTTGTTTAGAGTAAGCGGAATCAAACAGCAAACCGAAAAACATTGAGACCACCCTAAGAGACCGGCATGCATATACTCGGGCGTGAAAGATGATACAATATCAAAAACTGGTAACTCCAATAATGGAGAAAACCTTTTAATATCGTTGACTGTTTTTTTTTATAGTTATAGCTTTTTCCGCATCCGCCAGTACTTTTTGCGTTGTTCGATGTTCTCCCAAGTAAGGCATATATATTCGACAATATTCGTTAGCTTTTGGGGTACGATATCCTTTATTAAGACACCAAAGACAGCCATATTCACCATTGAATTGCGAAAAGTATGTTAATTTGCACCTCGCAACAGAATCAACGGGAGAAAGTATGGTATGCACTCGGATGGTTAAATAATTTCCAACTGGCGATTTTATCGTGAGACCAGACGCGTGCAATTCGGTCAATTCGGCTATTAGAGGTTTCAAAAATGTATCCATTCTTGGCGAACTATTACCGAAGAATATTCCTGCCAAAATGGTATTATCTCGCCGAGTATTGAGGGGTAGCTCGTTAATGGAGACGAACAAAGGCCACACAGATGCACTCGAGCATTTAAACACTTTGACACCATCGGTATTTAACCAAAGAGTTATATCGCTTTTTCAATTATCCTATTCTGTTCGTAGAGACGATACAATTGTCCCGATGTTACGTCGCTTGTGCTATTTTTCGTCACATTCAGCTGAGCTCTTAGTTCTGAGTTACTGAGAAGATCCCTTAATTTTTCTTTAATCGACAGTGTCAAAAAAAAAATTGTTATTGTTTATCGATTCTTTTTTTAAATTAATTGCCTCGCATTCACATAGTAGCTCATCGCTGTCTCCAAATTCAAGACTAACTTCGCATTGTTTACAGAAGAAGTTCTTTTTAGGTTCGGTTGTAGGCAATTTTTTAAGAAACGCGAATTTCGATGAATAAACTGGGATTGGCAAATGACAATTCAAAAGCTCCAAGAGATTCTCGAGCCCCTTTTCTGAGAGAGAATGGTTTAAGACAAATGCCATTATAAGGGCTTCACTTTCAGCGTGATTGATGCGAGCTCCTTCGTACAACATCTAGAACAAAAAAGTATAGCGTTTAATGAGGAAACTTAGTCATTCAAACATAATAGCGAGATTCGGCTAAAAAAAGTAAGATAAAAAAGATTTAAATTTGATCTCCTATGCATTTACAATAAAATCTAGTTCCATTGAACTGGACAATGGAAATACAATTTTTATGTATTCAAATATATTTTTTAATTTAGATAAAATGCTTGTTATCTCAATGAAATAATAAAGTGTATCGTGGCTAACCGGAGCTTGCGGATTATCACCACTGGCTTTGATAACTTTCTTATGGATTAGATTTTCAGATTCCTCTTCGGCTACTTCTTGCTTATCTTCTTTAGAAGAAGTCGCGAAACTTGAATCGATCCTGAATCCCATTGACGATGATTGGTGATTTTCAAAATTATCGTTCCCCTCCATTTTCTACAACTGTTCTGCGAAATAAGTAGTATTGATAGAAGGTCGTCCTATGTATAGCCATACAAGTAATTATTTCATTCACGGACGCGTAGAAATCTCGAAAGTAAGAAAAATTGTTTAATGTTCTGGCGCAGTTTCGTGCGATGCATGTTGTGACAAGAGTCCCTAACCAGACACGGGGTATCCGAGCGAGCACTAGTTCGCTGCCGCGCCACTAGGTGGCCAAGGCAACTCGCATGTAAAAACGTAGGACCGGGTAAATAATTAATCCGTCGATTGTGCGGATTCGGTCTTCTTCGTCTTCTTCGCCATCAACATATAATTTTGTATCCTGCATCTTGTATCCTGAATCCGGAATCCTGTATCTAATATCCAGCTTTACTCACCCGAGAGAGAACCATTTTTTTTTATCACACCGTTCGTTGAGGACTCTGTGGTTCTAGTTTCGTTTTCAGCAAACTTAGTCCAGTAGCGCAGCGTTTAGCTACCCTGGACATATTAGCATTCAGCTACTTAGCCCGTGTACCGAGTCCAGTAGCGCAGCGTTTTAGCTACCTTGGACAAATTAGCAGAGAGTGATCGCTCTCGCATCGTCCGTAGCAGGAAGTGTTGGCTTCCGCAATCTCAAATCACGCATCCCTCCGTAGCTGGAAGTTGTTGGAATTAGCAGAGAGTGATCGCTCTCGCATCGTCCGTAGCAGGAAGTGTTGGCTTCCGCAATCTCAAATCACGCATCCCTCCGTAGCTGGAAGTTGTTGGCTTCCACATCCTCAAGTCAATTCCTCCGACATTGTGAATTACCACCGATTGTAATAGAACTGACCGATGATAAAATATAGAGACGCATAGTATAATAAACAAAGAAAAGTGTACCTGAAAAGAACGTTTTATTGCTGTAACACAACTATCCCTTTACCGTTCCGAACCCTGGTTCACTCTAAGAGTTAAGTGGCCAAAATCGTCATTCGAGGGAACTGGTACTTCACCTGTCTTGACAGTGGAAAATAATGTACGTTACAGCAATAATTGGCGCCCGAACAGGGACTTGAAGTGTCCAACCCAGAGCATCAGAGGAAGCTGGGGAAGACACTGATAGTTTCACCGGAAATTGTTAACAAAATAACCGACAGTAACCGTGACCGAGACAAGGGACAAGCAGGTGTAGGACAAATGAGAAAAGCCGAATTACAAGAAGAGTTGAGAAGACGCGGAATAACTGTTGCCGAAAAAATCACCGTAGTAGAGTTAAAACAATTGCTTATTGATGCAAGAAAGACCGAAAGACTGGTAGGCAGTGAAGACACGGAACTCCACCTATCACAAATAAATAGAACATTATCTGATCGTGACAATAGCCATGATCCGATTCCGGAACCACCGAGGAGCAATCCAAACGAATCAACTATTGAGAATCATACTAGTCAAAGAGAAGGAATCAGGAATGTGATAGAGTCAGAGCAAAGAACACCCGCAAATATCCCGAATATAGACAATTTGCCTGGCTTACGTGAAATATTAACGGATTATTTCAATCAATAAAGCCGACCAAGACAGACACCGGGCAATAACCACTATCACTCCCGGCATGCAACACCAGACTCGTCACCAGAATAGAGAACACCATATCGTCCAAGTTTTAATGAACAACTATATCGACCAGGACTAGATCTTAAGGAAAAAGTACGCAAATGGAATACATTGTTTGATGGAGAATCGGATCTTCTGACATTTATCGAACGTATCGAAGAATTAAGCGAAAGTTACGGTATTACGCAGAACCAATTGCTTGAATGCATTCCCATTTTCTTGAAAGGAAAGGCATTATTAAGGTATCGTAATAATCAACGTCAATGGAGAAATTGGAACGAATTTATTCTTGAAATAAAGAAATTTTACTTACCGCGAGCTTTGAAAACGAGACTCGATGCTGAGATAAGGAATCGTACGCAGGATAGCGACGAGAGTGCAAAAGATTTTGTGACTGCTATACAAACTTTAATGCGTCGACAGGGTAATATGAATGCGGAACAACAATTGGAACAAATCCATGCAAATCTGAGACCAGAATACAGACGATACATTCGAAGATGTGATATTAAAAGCATCAGTGACTTAATAAGTCTCGCGGATGAATACGAAAGGTTGATTAAATATGAGAAGGGTATAAACCACAACCAGTATCTGACCAGTTGATAGCGTCGGAGGGCCTATACGGAAATAAAAAGAAAGTCAGAAAGAATTTGGAGGTAAACGCTATCAATAACCCATATAAACAAAATGAATGTTATTGGAAATGTGGTCAGAGAGGTCATAGCCGCTTCTATTGCCGAAACAAGTACCAAAAGTTTTGCTCTTGGTGTGGAACGAAAGACGTGCTGACGAGAGAGTGTAATTGTCAGAAGTCGGAAAACTGGCAACGGACCGATTACGACAGCAAGGTAAATCGGTCCGACAAGCCTCGCAGAATAAATATCGCAAACAACGCACCGGGAAACATACACAGCCGGAATACAGCAAGGATGGCGGCAACGACACATACAAATACCAACCGACAACCACAGACGAATCGAGGAGAGGAGAACAACGAGGAAAAGTTACCGCTCAATCCGGCGAATCGGACGTAGAAGAATTAGACGAACGACCATATGTTGAGATAGGGATCGGCGAGAAAACGTACCAAGGTCTACTAGATACCGGAGCATCTAACTCATACATCGGACATAGGGTATGGCAGTACGTACAGAGACAAGGTCTTGATTCAACAGTTACACTCACTACTGCAGAGGCCCGCTTGGCGGACGGAAGCAGGGTGCAAGTCACAGGGACAGTGGAACTGAGGATCCTGATTCAAGGCAAACATAGGATAGTGACATTTACCATTATGCCCAAACTGAAACAAGACGTCGTAATTGGAATAAGAACCATAAAACAATTGGGGTACGACATGAAACTAGATGAAACCAGAGATGAAACCGTGATAGAAACTATTGAGGAAGTAGTAACCAAGGATCGGGTTCTACAAGAGATTCGTAACGAACTAGGTAAATTTGAAGACATACAAGGCCCAACCCACCTGACAGAACATGAAATAAGATTGAAAGAAAAAATTCAACCAATCAAAATTCGTTATAAACCACGAAATCCAGCCATGCAACAAATAATCGACAATGGGGTTGTAAAAATGCTAGAAGAAGGGGTAATTGAATCTTCAAGTAGCCCGTGGAGCTCTCCAATAGTCCTCGTTAAGAAAAAGAATAAGCAATACCGGTTTTGCATTGATTTTCGGAAGATCAATGAAGTTACACATAAAGATGCATACCCGTTACCGCAGGTAAATGCGACCCTTGATAAGCTACGTGACACCAGATACATCTCCTCGATAGATTTGAAGAATGGATATTGGTTAATTCCCTTGACAGCAGCCAGTAAGGAAATTACTGCTTTTACTGTACCCGGAAGAGGCGTATATCAGTTCACCGTCATGCCGTTTAGACTGCATTCCGCACCCGCAACGTTTCAACGGTTGCTGGATAAAATTATCGGTCCCGAACTCGAGGGAAAAGCTTTTGCGTACTTAGACGATATAATTGTACTTGGAAGCACCCTATCCGAGCATCTGCAGAATTTAAAAGAGGTTTTCCGTAGACTTCGTGAAGCTAGGCTTCGAATCAACAAGGACAAGTGTCAGTTCCTCCGTAAACAATTGAAATACCTCGGACACGTAATCGACAGTGATGGAATCAGAACCGATCCAGATAAAGTAAAAGCGATAGTGGAGTTAAAGGAACCCACCAACGTTAAAGAGGTACGTACGTTCTTGGGAATGATTTCATGGCACCGACGGTTTTTACCTAATTGTTCGGAGATGAGAAAACCGTTAAATGAATTGTTACATAAAAAGCAAAAATGGAAGTGGGATACTCCGCAACGTCAGGCTTATGCAGACTTGAAAGAACTGTTAGTTTCCGCACCGATCCTGTCTCCACCTGATTTTACCGAGCAATTTTACTTGCAGACCGATGCTAGTAAATATGGAATTGGTGCTGTACTTGCTCAGATAGTAAATGGACGAGAACAGGTGATTGCGTATGCAAGTCGTACCTTAAATAAAGCCGAACTGAACTAGTCAGTGACAGAGAAGGAATGTTTAGCCGTGATTTGGGGAATCCAGAAAATGAGAATATACTTGGAGGGATACTCCTTTACTGTAATAACCGACCATCAATCCTTGAAGTGGCTCAAAAATATTGAAAGCCCAGCCGGAAGAATAGTGTTGTGAGCCCAAATACAGGGTTCACGGATTCGACTGCCGGAAAGGG